GAAATTGAAAAATTCGAAATTTTTGAAAAAGTATCAGGATAACATGAGCATCGAGAAGTTATTGACTGAAATTGAAAAATTCGAAATTTTCGAAAAAGTATCAAGGGAACATGAAAATCGAGGAGCTATGCAGTTTTCAAACAATATTTCGATTGATTAGCCATTTACAAAAGAAAAAATGGGAATTATTTAAAAAAAAAATGAATGATGGCGGGATCGAACCCAAGCTATCCGCGTGCTAGTCAAGCACGTTGACAATTAGACAACGCGCTCATTATAAAAGTAATGCTTCATTAGTAGTATATGTTCAATATATTGAATAATTTTTTCCATTTGAAATTGCACAAGATGTGGTCGGCTTATGAAACTTATACGATAGCAATTCCCTATCATGTAAAGATTCACAGGGGAGAAAGCCCATCGATCATATCGATCGAAACTAGCCGCAAATTTTGAACAAGTGAAAGAACTCCAACTTTTTTAAATAATTTTTTATTTGGATTTTAAAATATTAATTTACCTAGAAGCATAAAAGATATTCACAATAACATCTTCATTTTCTTTACAATTATCTCTATACATATCGTTCATGAATTTTTCGATCCACCAGCTCATCAATCCGATGGATTTATAATATAAATGGAAGCCAGTCCATTGCGTAATTGTACTTGCACATGCAATTGATATAGATCCGACATTCGTTTGAACTTCGGGATGAATAATTCCTAATTTAGTCCCTCATTTTACAGATTTCGCTTTATTCTTCACTTGTGATTGAATCTAGGGATTACTTTGTGCTGGAGTATCTCAGTGATTTCGAATGAAAATATATTGCTGTATGTAACTGTGGTGCATAAAATGTCATTCAGTATGTAGAAAAGAAGAAGTAATCTTTTAAATCTTCTTCATGCTTCTTCACGCACTTGCACTCTCACATCATCTCTGTTATATATTACATATGTCATATATGTACATTTAGCTAGTGAGTCGCATCCCGTGGCGGAAACGTTTATGGGGGAGGGTTAAATTGGATGAGAATTATTTCCTTCATCTTCTCCTTCGAGGTACACGATATAGAGGCTTTTCCCTTGACAGATGAAAAGCTTACGAACACTATTCTCCCTCCCTCTTGTTGGTGTAAGAGTATGCTGTATGATAGTCAGTGATCATTTCCTCTCCACACTACATTTTCATCCTGAACATTGATTACTTATGCTGGTGTCGCGGTGCTGCTTGAAACCTTGGCAGACACAAGCCGAATTTCGTTTCAATTCCAGTGAGAATCGGGATAGCAACTTCGTAGCCACCTATGTGGTCTGGATTCGTTGATTTTATCTCGTCCGCAACTCCAGTCGATGGTACTTTCTGCTCTGATCCCGTTGGTCGCCTGAAAAAATTATTTGTTTAGATTTTTTCGTATGGATTTCGTTGTATCCATTATACACAATTTTTAATTAGCATTTGGTACGTACGTCCCTCCAAAATCAACGACAAACAGCCTCTGCAGTAGTTCATACGTGAACAATGTAACTCCAAATTGGGGGGAAGATCTAAACACTCGAGCTAAAAAAAATTAAATCAACGTAAATCCCTGCACTTGGTGTCAACATCAATCATTAAAATTGCATACCACAAACACACAGTTAATAACGGTCAAGGTCAACGTTGAAAAATTGCTGTGAGCATGGGGTGATGATGGCGTTGTGGTCATGATTGATTTTAATGAGCGAGAATAGAAAAAAAATTATCATTAACGATAAAATGACAAATTGACGAAACAGTTCAACGAAAAAAACCAATTGATTAGAACAAAATTCAGATTGAATGCCAGAGAAGATAAGGTCTACTTACTGACCAGTAAATCGCCAGGTCATATTGGGGAGAAAAGGAAGACCAATGGTGCGCCAGGTCCCGGAACCCGGCGCCGAATATTAAGAATGTATTACTAACTGTCTGTTCTTTTGATTCATAGCCAAGCGGAAATTCTATTTCTGTAGCGTTAGCGAATTAAAAAAAACTGCTGCTCGAGATTAGATAAGACCAATTCAAATAAATAGATACATAAATTAATAAATTGATAATTTAAAGAGATGAGCAGCAGAATTTTTTGCTTTATGGATAAATAATTGCATACGTACCTGTGGCACCCTTCCAGAAGGCCCTAGCTCCCTCCTCCTTCCATATTTTTCTAGCACAGTCTGCGAGGCCGTTGTAGGTGGTCTGACCCTCTCGTGCGACAACCTGAAATTTTTCATGGAGTTATGGCATTTTGGGATTGAATATTTGGTTTTCATGTTCGCACCGAATCAGGAAGGAGAAAATTAATTTCAATAGAGAAACAATGAAAAAATTGAGGAAACAATATTTCAGGGTTGTCGACAATTACCTGTAACCTGGTTTTAATAACATCGGCCGGTGTGACCAAAGCCGCAGCTGGCACTCCAGCGATTGCTCCAGCTGCCAGGAGTGACAGGGGAGTATTATATCCACCTTCGTCGGCGAGTTTTGCTTTTGTATGAGCGTACATGGGAAAGTAAATGGCACTAAATGGTACGTCACGTAGAAAACAAGCTCTTGCTCCCTGAAATTCACAAAAACAAGTTCGATAACGTCCGGGAGAGTTTTGAGATAATAAGAGAAAATGGGAGACTCACTTTGTACAGACCGAAGAGCCCCAGCTCCTTTACAACAGCCCAAGCCCGGACTTTAGATCCTCCAGCGATTTCACCAGCTACCTGGAGTCTGATCTTCACGATTTCTAGGGGATTTGTGAAAATAACTTGAGAACCTCCAGCCTGAAAATAATTTTCAATACAGAATAATGCGTTCAAATCGTCTAGTTTATGTTTTTGATTAAAAAAAAACTCACGCAAGCACCAGAAATAATTTCTCCAAGAAGAGGTAGATTTCCATTTTTATCAGCGAATTTATCCCTGACAAAATCATTGACCGTCAATTTAATAGCTTTTTCGGGGGCTACTCCCATTAACTGTGGCACCAGACCTCGATAAAGACCAAAAAATCCTTCATGCCTGATTACCTGTCAAACGCAACGTACAAACTTTTATGATTAAACGATGCAGCTACGAATATTCACTCAGACTTCTTGATCCCAACCTTTTTGCAGCAATCGAAACTATTCCTGTACATGAGTTCACCGATGAATGAACCGGTCCTTTGATTCTGCATTCGCGTTTTTACCAGGTCTATTGGGTATACTGTTGTTGCACCAACAGCACCACCAATCGATCCCAGAACAAAACGATAGCTGCTCTCGAGGATTTGGGTTACCACTCCTCGCTCTTCAGGACTCTGAAATTTTTTTTGTGATGAAATTGTGTCACGAAAAATAATAGAGACAATGGAGACTCTAGCGCTAATTATTTTGTGATTATTTATCTCTTTGGAATAGAGGAAGTATAAAAAGAAAAAAAATTATTAACAACTCCCGAGAAAAATCTTCTACCGCGTCTGATAAATTACCGAGACAGCCTTCAGCAACGCTAGACGCCTGGTAATGTGTTTGAAATACTGTTCTGGAGTGATGGCCACCAAATCATTATAAACAATTTTCCTGCAATTTGAAATTGATTAAAATTCCAATTCCGTGTTATTTTCATCATCAAGACGGTTATTACGTACCCACTTTGATGAAGAAGCTCACACAAGTGGAATAGAATATCAACTTCGAGTGGAGTTATCTGTGACATCATTTGGGCTGAATGTAGAAATTCCTCCTTGGTGACCTCCTGATACCGATGCCCACCCGTTGCATTCAGATAGATTCTCTTAATGAGCTCCATGTTATTGAGAAGTGAATTGAATGCCATGAAATAGGGAAAACTGACTTTTCTTCCTCCACTAGTGCCCACTGCCGCGCCGAGATTTTCTTTGAGGTCTTTAGTGAGTAGATGGCTCTTGATATTGAGCATTATATCTTGAAAATCCGATGTGGATATGAAACCCTCGCCATTTTTATCAAATTTCTTGAACGCCTCGGTGGCATATTCCTCGTGAAAATCCTAGAAAATACACCAATAAAAATATCATTCATATATTATCATATCTCTAAACAAATGAGAGAATAATTACGTTTTTCATCAATACAATTACAATACATTAATAAATACGAAACTCACGTGCAAGAATTGACTGAACTCTGCATAACTAATTAGTCTTTTTTTATCTTTCCCGAAGTACAATTTGATAAAACTGCTCTCCATGTTGAATGGCATTCTCTGATGGAGTTCTGTTTTCTTCATCACCTCAGCGAATTCATCTGCAATGAAACCATGAATGAATCAATTCGGAAATAACAGTGAGAACATGATCTTTCAGTCAAATAAATCTCACCAAATGCAACCATTCCATTTCCATTAGTGTCAAACAACTGGAAGGCCGTTTTATAAAGAGCGTCGGGTACACAGAGAAGCCCCTCGAATGCTTGAAACTCTGCGAATGATATGAGCCTGAAAAATTCAATGACAAGTCATAATTTTTACGAAAATTAATCTAGCAATAGTATGAACCGCGGACCGAGCATTTACCCATCTTTGCTGGTGTCGACGATGCCTGCCAATAAATTAACGGAATCGGGATTGTAGTCGTCATCTGTGTAGAGGCCAAGGTAGCTCCGTACAAAGTCAGCCGGGGTCATGAACCGGTCCCCATTCTTCTTCTGGGAAGCATACTGAAAGAACAGTTTCCACCTTCTTCAATTATTCCATATTTTTTATCATTGTAGTGTTACAACTCTTATTATCATTTATTTTTATTCATGCCGAGATTGTCAGTCACGTGCTGCCTTGATGTCTACTTATCATTCTTCGATCCCGCACAACCTTTTTTTTATCTGCTAAATGCACGCGGGCAAATTAGTGCAACAATAGAGAGGAATTTATTTTTCACTCCTTCAAAACTTTTGATAACAAATAAGTTTTTTCTGTCTGCTACTCTTCCCTCTTTATAATAATCCCAACTTCATTAAATCCTGACGGAAATCGATAAATTCCCGGATTATTGTGTTTTTTTTATTTATTATTTATTTATTATTTTGTGTGACTAAAAAAATGTACACCTCACCTGATTGAAAATCTCATGGAGACGTTCAGTATTGGCTCGCTTCAGGTATCCAGATCCCTAAATGAAAAACAAATCAGTTAATTAGTAAATCGAATTTGAGTTATACCTAATTTATTACTATTCATTGGGGTCAATAGTTGCCGATGAATGATACTAATACGATCAATTTGAATTGATCACTTGTCAATACTCACACACATTCCTACACTCATGAATTCGAATTGGTATGTAATAGAGTAGTAAAATGCAAGAGAAAACCTTAATTCATCATCTTATTGAACGTAACTTGTTGATGAATTACATTAGTTGTTATTTATCCCGTTTTTTATTCATAGATTCTAAAAAAAAAGACATTTAATGCCAAGGGCAATCTCAACCGGTACCCAACTCCTCCGGTATTTCAATTGTTCCTCGAGGTAGTTGCAAACTTCCTCGTGTACACGAAGTGGTTGCAAAAATTCAATGACCTTGAGTACCCACGCGTGTCTCTCACTTGCTGGGGGTATCACGTGGTGTTCACGTGACACCAGGGGGTAACCCCGGAAGGGGAATTTATAGAAACATGTGCACCAAAGAAATTATAAGACACTTTTCATGACCGGAGTGATTTCAATACCCAGTGTAAAAATATCTCGACTACGTACTTTTGATGATGGCATGTCAGCTCAAAGCAACTTGTCCTATTGTTGGACTGCTTGATCGAAATTTATGGAAATTTATGAATCGAATTAATCCGGAATTTTAATTATGGGGTTGGTCCTTTGGAGTCTGCACCTGGAGTGGTTCAAGCTAATCTTCTCTGATTGTATATGGATTGATTAATATTCGGATACCGCTCGTGTTTAACACGCACAAACACAAGACACTGCAATGTGAGACTAAATGATTTTGAGCGACGACCCTGTCGGCAAGATAAAGAAAGCCCGTGGTACCCCGTTAAACAGAGATGGATAAACTATCCCCACCATTTTCAACGATTACTTATTCCCATCCACACTGATGTTCTCGAGTTTGCCTCAATTCCAATGATTTTTTGAAAAAATCTCTCACCAATCGCGCAATTACCCTATTAGTCATCCATTTCGTTTTTCTACTAAAGCAATTCAAAGCTCGAGACTTCCAGAATTTTTTTCATTTTTTTATTTATACGTGTCAACCTATATCGATATATTATTTATAGAAATATATGAAAGCTAATATCATGCAAATGCTGGGGAGTTGTTTTAAATTTTTTAATTCTTATTTTTTTAGTAGTCTTAAGTTTTTAAAAATTGGTTTATAATGTTTGGAGGTTCAATATCCTTTGATGACAAGGAACGATTTCAAGAAGAGAAAAATCATCTATTATGATATGATATGGCGATATTTTCCACTGAGTGCCAACTGATACGAACTCAAAGAAACTCAATAAATCAACTGTTAGTATTACTTTCGCACTGATAAGAACGTTTTCCAGTACGAAAATCTTCCAGAAACTCGGGAGAGTGAAATAAAACTAATCGCCATGACGCAAGTGTGAATATTTTTATCGCGTTGTTGTTATCACTTGCACGTTATAATCTCAATCTTTCCTTGGGGGGTCCCTGCAATTATGTCAAATATTTCGCAACATGTTTGTCCCATTGAAACACAGAAATTCATTTCATTAACTAACAAATACTCCAACGATAAACAAAACAGATTGCTGCAATTTACGTCATAATTCTTTTTAATAATTTCAATAATAAATACGAAAACATTTTCAATAATTGTTATTAAAAATGTATTAAATTAACAATGGGCCATATATCTATATAAAATGAACAAAATAAAAATATATCAATATTGATATATATAAATGTAAATTATCCTCAATCTAATTTTGAAAAAATGAGATTTTATTGGCTAAACTCGATGTACCAGTTATGTACTTAGTATATCGAATGAAAATGATTTATAAAATGATTATTGCAATGGAATAATCATTTTGTTAAATAAAATACATAATAATCAGTATCTGGAGCAGTGGATACTCGAGCAATCGACAATACTTTCGACCTATTGAAATCCCTGGACGGGAAGACTCAATATAATCCAACGCATTAGCACATCCCTGACATGTGACACAATGTGGAACATACACGACATTACCAGGTACACAGACAGGAATATCTGGGCTCGTTGTAAAACCCTAGGAAATAAGGAGGCCAATTGAAGGCCTCCACAATTCTCAATGAGAATCGATATCACGTGTCTAGAGTATATATCAGAATTAAACGAAAATTTGTAATTATTCCGGTATAATTAGCAATAAAGAGATACTAATGAGTGAATTGAACTGATTATGACCTTGTGGCCAACAAATTGGCACTGGGTATTAGCTCCAATAATCGAAAATTCCTGTTAGTCATTTAATTGTTGTAATTCTGGGAATGCCATATTCTATCCTCATCAGCTTATCCATGAGTTTTCCTTGTTTAATCAGAATGGGCTGATGATAGTTAATGGTAATTGCAGAGATGACTAGTCCAATAGACAGGATAACTACTCTCAATATCTGAACTGAAAACGGTATCAATCGATTTGTTTTACCCTACCTTTTTCTCTCTCGTTACATCTAATTGATCGGTTATTGCATGCAAATATTTGCTGACTACTTAAACCGGAGGTGGTACTCTTTTTCTAACGGAGAAATAGGATGGGATTCGTAATGATGTGTCATGTTCAACTGGCTGCGTACATTGTCAGCTGCAATGCTCGGAATTTATTGAAATTTCCTGACAATTGTGTGTCAATCCCCGATTTTTTTTTACTTCACTGAGAATTCGCAACGGTTATACGTGAACAATTAGTTTTTTCTGCTGAAGCTATAATTTATGATTTCTAGTAGGTAATTTACAAGTTTGAAGATCGTAATTCACGGTTTTGAAATCGGGATTTATGAGTTTGTAACGAGTAATTTACGGTTACATTTTCCAATGTGTGGGATTGAAATTGCATTGAGATTTTTTGTTACTCGTATTGACAAAGTTGACAAACGCTTGGCTGTCAGGTGACGAAGATAACGCGAGCGATAAAAATTGAAGAATGGACAGATCGTTGAGAGTAAATCGATACTGCAATGATTGAAATTTTTGTTGAATTATCAGGTGATTGCGAATGTTGTAATTCATTCGAGGTCAACAGCTTATTGTTCTGTACTAGCAACGGTAGTTCATGCAATGTGCAAGGACAAGTTGTGCCTTACGTCAGGTGTCCAACTTCCTATTGCTGAGGATTAAATTTACAATAGAGGACTTCGCGAGGTATCAAGTCTTCCAGTTTTCCAGATTTCATAAACAAAACGGAGAATTGTCATGAATACCTGAATATCTAAGCGATAACATTTTTTTTCAGGAAGGAGTGGCTTTATCTATTCATGACCCCACCTGTTTATTTTACGACACAATTTCAATATTAATTTGCTATTATATAGAAAAAAGTCTGCCAATAAACTTGACTTGTACCAAAAAAACCCTTTTCCGCCCCCATAAATTATCTTAATAAAGTAGATAATATGCTCTAGATTCTCACAGCAAGCAGTACCGATTCGTGCTAAAAGTAGCATAGCATATATGCGATACGCTATAATTAAACATCTAGGATTGAAAACCTGAATTTTCGAAAAAATCTCAATGAAAATCTCCCCTCAAAATTCAGGTCTTCAATTTCAAGAAATATCTTGGAAACTAATGAAAATACCGAAAATTTCATAGATAGCCATTTTTTAGCTCTCAATGAGCTTTAGAAAAAAGATATCAACAAAAATTTTATCATCTCCGTTAATTCCTCAGATATTCCTGGAAAACCGCGAAACAGACATGGAAATAAAAAATTTCTCAGTAAGTGAATAATAACAAACATCCGCTCATCAGACAATTCATGGGTTCATGCATTCCTAATCATCCTAGGAGTCTATCCCACAGGTTGAGAGCAAAATGAATCATGAATAACGAAAACGAGAGTGAGGGGTTGTGCATTAGTTCCGGTGACCTCGAAACAGGAGTTAGTCTCGATGGTGAGTGCGATCGATACCCCTCACTCTCCGCCATTCGTAAATCTAGAGTGAAAAAATAAAATTCATATTGAATAATCCCGAGAAGTTAAACGGCACTCAATGCCGCAGGTAAATCCAAGGGGTCATTATTTTTACCCTGGATATGAGCCAAAAAAATCATCGCAAAATCGTACAAGATCAGAGCGGGAATCCGCCCTTGGACAATTACCGTCAACATCACATGACAACAATTATCCAACGACTAATCAATAATATATCAACAACCCGACAGAAGGAAACAGGACTTACCCACCTCTTGGCAGGATGCTCGTAGAAACAGCGAATCTCTCAACATTCCCAGCACAGATAATTATTACCTAGAGTGGTTATCCCTCGAAAATAATCCAAAACACCTGATGACGAGACTTCGGTATTGAGTTTTCTTTTGGTATTTTCACTTTTTGTTTCCGTTGGGTTTATACACACCGGAGAGATTTCAAAACACTTTGCGGAACGGAAGCTGTCACTCATACTCTCGACCAGATGAGAGTGTCTTCTACTCATCGGCTCTAGGCCCAGGTCCCTCAGATCCCCCGGGCTCACCCCAACGCTTCACTCGCGCATGCGTTAAACCTCCTGTTTTCGCGCGCAAACCGTCACATCACCAAATCACATAATTCATCCTATTTTTTCCTATAAATAATACTGTTACCACCACGAATTTTCCTGAGTCATTAAATAACAACAAAACAGAAATTATTTGCCTTTTCAATAATTTAATAATACATAATAATAATTGTAATTTTTATTCTGAATAAACCACGAAGCATGAGGTATGTCTAATTATTTCCTCTCTTCAATCTCGTTATTAGTAAATCCATCCGTAGTCCGGGTATCCTTTCACTGGACCCACCTTCTTCATCTGAAAATCAATCCCAATAAGTTAAAAGGAGTTGGAATGATTTGGAGCAATTTGAAATAATGTGAAACAAACACAGAGTAGAGTGAAGAAAAAGAATCCAGTGCAATACAACATGACTTTGGTGTCCTTCTTGTTCTGTTCGTCGTAAGCCTCCTGCCAGGGTCCACAGGGGAGAGGCAGCAGGTCCATCATGCACCTCTCCTTGGGCATTTCGCAAATTGGAATTGTCACAGGATCGCAACAATCCACAGTACTCCGATCTCGAATGGCCTTCAATTTCCTCGCCCAATTTACATGAATCCCTTGAATAAAAATTCCCCAATTTTTTTCATCAATCAATCATTAATTTCAGAGCAATTAAAATCATAATTGACAAATAATTAAAAAGCGGTACTTAGTTTAAAACATCAAGAGACCTGAAAATCTTTCTCCTGTGCTCAAGACTCCAGTCTTCCCCAGGAATGTCGCTGTTCTCAACATTTTCCTCACATTTTCCTGAAGACAATTACCAGAGCTCAACACTATTTGTCTCTTTACTCAAAAAAATAACAAAAACGAGAGATTCCTTTGATGAGAGAATAAAGGTTCATTTCAGACCGTTCCATTTGAATATCGCGGGCTTTTCGAAGGCAAATACCAATGGAGGCCGTAACCTCTGGCGATTGTCACCATCAAAGTTCATCTGCTCTAAAATACTGTCGACGTAATTACTCTTTTCTCTCAAGATGAAGTAGATAAATTGAAATTCATCAGGATTCACCAATTATTTTAGACCGAATCAGAAAGGCAGGTAGACAAATCCTTTTTCACGACGTCAACTTCCTGTCAAACATTTGAGAAACTCCCATATCTTTCAGGAGTTCTTGATGTTTACAAACAATCAACAAGTCTCAGATACCACTTCATCCAAATTAATGAAGTAATTCGCACTTTCTTGCGGTTTTAATATAGTTTGAGGATCTGGGTGCTTGAAGTTATGGTCGTGGGTCCTTGGAGGAAACTTCTCGTGGAAACAAAGGAAATCCTGGAAGTATTTATGGGCATCGAAGGACGATCTCGGGGACAGTGAATCAGGAAACAACTGGAGAAGGCCAAGGATGTCGAATCAAGTGCAACGACTGGTGAACTGTCCCTCGTGATTCCCTTTTTTGATGAGATACTGCAGTGGCTGCAGGAACAGTGGGTGTTCTTTTTATAGACAACATCGACCTCTTTTCTGTGTACGAATCGGAGAGTCGATCAGTTCAACTCTGGACGTTCTTCTGGTTACTCTTTCTCTGATCTTCAATTTATTGTAGTTGAGTTTATAAATTTTTTTCAAACTTTTTTTATTCATCGGCATTGTTTGAAGGTCCATAATTATTCGTTGAAGATGCCTACAAGGTAAACAATACTGTTAAGCAGTCAACAAATTGTTAATTTCGAAATTCTAGTTCTCATTCGACTGTTCATTCATGTGGAAAAGTCTTGGATGATATCAAAATGCTGATACCTTTTCTGTACACGTGGTTTAATTTGACGGTTTCATTGAGGTTTTAAAATCTGAGGAAAGTGAAACTTTGTTTAATTAGGGATAAAATATTGGTTGGCGCTGGAGTAATTTGGGGCATCACAGTCTGCTGTCTAGTGATAAGTAGGAAGCTCTCCCCTGGGAATATCTTTGGTCTCATTCCTTTGATTCTCCATCGGTCAGTTAAAACATCTTGCGTTGTTGACTTATTCGTGTGACTCCCCACCTAAAAATTTGAAATTTTTCATCAACTTCCTATTCAGTTGATTATAAAAAAAATTATTTATTCCAGTAATTGCAAAATGGATAATGATGAAGAGCAGAAGAACAGTATGGAGGATCCTGGCCCCTCCCTGAACCATCAGCCATCATCTCCAAATAGTCCTGGTGCCTCTAACAACTCGGGAAAACAATGGGTCTCAAATTTCATGGCTGGAGCATCCCCGCCAAAGTTTGTATCTCTGGAGGAAATTGTCCAGGCAGCTAATGGGATGAAGAATATGGCACTGGCCCATGAAATTGCTGTTGATAAGAACTTCCAGCTTCAGCGACTGGAGCCAGAGGAGAATAGTATCCAGAAACAGGTGAAGGAGGTGATGCACAAGGCCTTCTGGAACATTTTGTCTGGTCAATTGAGTGAGGATCCACCGCAGTACACACACGCCCTCGTGCTACTCAAAGAAATACGTGAAGTAAATGCGAAAGAATTACGCCTCAAATTCTTTAGAAAGGCTTTCAATAAAATTATTAAGTTTATTGCCAATTATTAATAGTCTTAATTTCCTTTGTTGTTTAGTCTTTGGAAGAACTGGTCCTGCCGCACCACACGAAAATTCGTGACAATCTGCGTGAAGTCCTGGACATTGATCTCATAAAGCAGCAAGCGGAGAAAGGAGTCTTGGACTTTAGTAAGTACTCACAGTATGTCCTCTCTGTGATGAGTAAGGTGTGTGCACCAGTGCGAGATGAGAAAATTCGTGAATTGGGTGAATGCACCGACGTCGTGGAAACGTTCAAAGGGATTATGGAAACGATTCAGTTGATGAAACTCGATCTCGCAAATTTTACAATCTCGATGATGAGACCTAATATCGTAGCGTCTAGTATTGAATACGAGAAAGCCAAATTCGCTGAGTTTCTCAAGGTGACAACGGATGGACTCCAGTTCACCAGGTTGTGGCTGCTCAAGCATCTGGATGAGGCCAAAGTCCAAGCTGCTGGGGCTGATCCCAATGGAGTTAAACAAATCACTCATTATCTGCTTGCTGAGGCTTATCTCGATTTACTTAACTGGGATTCTAGTCCTGAGGCTGAGGTAAGTAATGCGAAATAAAGAATTATTTTAATTCTCAATTGGGATTTGCTTATTTTTTTCAGACCCTCATGTTGGATCAGGGTCGCCTTTTAGAACTCAGAGACAAGATAAATCATCTAGCTATCGTTGGTTCTACACTTCTACTGTGTAGTAATACTGTGGGAGCACCTGTTCAAGGAGTTGCAGCCTTCAAGAAAAATGTGAAGGAACATCTGAATATTCTCTTGGATTCTGTGCATTCTAACAAGTATGGAAGAATTCTTTTTTTATCAATCAATTGATTAATTAACTCCACGCGTTTCCAGGGCTTTAGCGGAAGTTATGCCGAATATTGTACTTCAAGTTAGAGAAGATGTGAAAGCTACTTTGAGTCAAGTTGGTGCACCACAGCTAACTGCAGACGTTGAATCTATTCTTCAGGGACAAATAATGGATCTTGTGAATGAAGATCATAAAATTCGGCAACTCGTCAGTGAGTCAAATACACGAATTGTTTGTCAATCAATAAAATTCAATGCATTCGTTATTATATTTTTTATTTTTAAGACTTGAGGATACGACAATTCCTCCAGAAAATAATTCTGAGCCAAACAGCAGTGCCGACTCAAGTGCCTCCCGGCTTGTCCTCCCTCCAGGAGGAATTAGCAGCAGTAGCTGCACGATTCTTCATAATAGTTGCCCACAATCGCAGTGTCTTCGGTGACTATTACCAAGAGATCGTAGCAACTGAAATAGCTCGGAGAAAATCCACCCTGGGATCGTCTGACAACGTCACCGATGGAATGGATGCTTAATTATTACGCATAAATGTCTGCAAATACTATTTACTGCATTAAAAAATGTATTCCGATGTTTAACATCGAATCAAATATCTACAATTGAAATACCGCGGTCAGGATTTACCTGACGATCTATGCCCAGCCACTGTTTCATTTTTTACTCTAAATAATTTTTTGTATCACGTTTTAATGAAGTAATCACTTAGAATCGAATGAAATAATTTGCAAAAACTGAGAATTTGCTATTAGTACTGAAAAGAGAATCGGATTGTGATAGGAAATGCAATTTGTATGCAATATGTAATGAATTAGAGAATTGATAACAACGTGGGAAGAAATCGCGGTTACTTCGTTCCTTATTCCCACCTGGGGAATTTTATTGTAATTAATAAATACTTTTAAGGCACTTCCAGGTGTAAAAATAATTTATAACCAGATTAATTTATTTTTTCATTATGTGGCTATCGAATGCAGATATGTGTTGCTTTTTTAAGAAACTTCTAAAGCCCTCAAAGAGTCTTTCCAATCCACTTCCTACCGGGAATAATTCTCCCAATGTTTTCAAAAGTCCTTCAAAATCCCCACTTTTTGTATAAACTTGGATCATCTGAGCAAAGACTTTGTAGTTGCCCTCACTGAGTGATCGTTTCACTTCTTTAAGATACGTCTTCCCCAATTGCTTCTTCTCGTGCCCAGGGCTCGTCTTCTCTAGACCATTGCTGTTCTGTTCCTGAGACGTCGAAGGCTGAGCGTCAAATTTGAATTCAATCGGTTGGATTTTCAATTTTCGTTTTTTGAAGACTTGTTCAGAGGAGGCCGGGTTTTTGACTAATTCTGATTGACTCCAGCCTCCGACTGCCTTGAGAGTCCCGAAGTTGATGACATTTCTGTCCTGGGACTCTGGAAAATCCTTCCTCTTGAGGCTTCCACCGTTCTCCGTGTTTTCACGCTTATAGATATCCAAATTGATAGACTCTTCTGCTGCTGCTGGTTCCTCCACCTTCAGAGAACTCCCTTCACGTATTCTACTGTTGTACTCGAAGCTCGCGGGAACTGCAGGAATTGAAGATTCTCGGTGACGAGTTGTTTTGGGCTGTGGAAGAGTGGCTTCGGCATTCTTGAAGAAATTTCTGAGCTCTCTAGTGACAATTCCAAAATTGGAGAAGTCCTTTATATGGGGTCTCAGCCAGGAAGACAGTTGTCCTTTGAAACTGGCGTTGTTAAATCTAGTGTCACACAAAACAATCGCTCCATAATCGTCTTTGTGTCTTATTATTCTCCCTATGGCCTGATTAACGGCCCTAGAGGCCTCCAGCTGGTACCACTGCTGTCCAGAGAGTCCTTCTTTATTTTTCACCCTCATCTCTTCAAGGTATTTCTGCTTGAGAACAACTCTGGGATCTTTCAACGGTGGAAATGGGAGTCCTGTGATAAGAACAGCACGTCCATTGGCGTTGGCAAAGTCCAGACCCTCTGAGACCTTTCCTCTACAGACTGCTAGAAAAATCGCTCCATTGTGCGTTGGATCCTGAATTTTCTGGTAGAAATCGTTCATCACGGTGTTGAAACTGTCCTTCGTCTGGGGTTCGACGAATATCGGCTTCTTTTCCGTTATCGTAGACCACAGTCCTGAGCTCTGCCAGTCGTCTCGGCACTTCTTCATCATTGGATAAGAGGGAAAGAAGACGAGGAGACCGTGGGGGATTAAGCAGCTGAAGTTGTAGAGAGTTCGTCCCAAGGCAGAGATGTACTTCGGGTCGTTTCGAGTGTTATAGGAAGAGTTCAGAGGATGACTATCTGGACCTTGACTCAATACTCCAGCACACACCTGCTTGCCTGTGACGATGTGAGGATTCTCTAGCTGGACATCAATGGGGATTCCCAATTCAGAGATAAAGGGTTTCAAAGGAGACAATGTTCCACTAGTCAAAATAATAGAATGAATTCCCTGTTCCAGTAGCTGTTGCATTCCAAAGCCTGGGCTGAAGCACCAGTAGCTGATCAACTTGCCACCGGCTTTCTGAACAGGTTTTTTCGGCTCCCAGCCGTCATTTCTGTTGGACTTCTTGGTTTCCTCAGGCTGAACGTACACCTTGTAAGCCTGCTTTACCCTTTCACGATGTTTAAACGAATTTGATGAGCCACCACCACTGAAGACTGTCCTCAGAAAATCACAGAATTTTTGTAATGAATTTCCTCGCCTGGCAAATGGTGATGCACTGATTGTAGACAAGTAGAGAATTATTTTATCGAGTTTTTCGATGACGATTTGCTCTTTTCCGTGAGTCAAGTCAGCCTTTTCGAGAAGTTCGAAGACGTATCCCCCAGGGTATGTGTCACCCTCAGTTCCCATGTTCAAGGGGATCTCGTCGATCGCCTTCTCCACAGCTAGAAACATAATCTTGAGGACACATAAGTCTTCCGGTGTAAAATCTTTCTGGAGATTGGTCCCAGGCCCTTCAAGGTTGAACCCAATGTCCTCAGACTTCTCCTCGGCCATGTCCTTCATAACCTTCGTGATCTCATCAATGCAGAGTGCTATGTCAGTGCTGCTGATCTGCAGGGAAGCTGCTTCCTCACACGTTTTCTCAACATTGTGAGCCTCATCGAGCAGTATGACGTAATTTTGAAGATCAATTCCCTGAGATTTTCTCGTCTTTGGATCTAGGAGGTAATTATACGGCATGAAGGTAATGTCTGCTGATTGTTTCAACTCCTTGGCTAAGAAATATGGACAACACTTGAACTTCTGACCATTTTTAACTAAATCTTCGATGTCACAAATTTCATTTTTAAAGGCTGGATCATCTTTTCTAATCTCAACATTATTAAAATAAAAACAAGTCCTGGCTCTGACTTTGGCCTGACACATGTGAATTTTATTAGCTGAATTCTGCTCTTTGGACACCTCGGGATGAATACAGAGCTGATCCCTAGACCCAATCACAGCGACTTTGACATGTTTGTAAGACGTTCTCTTCAACTCTTGCATCGCTTGAGATAATTGTGAATGCGTCCTCGAGGCGTAGACGATCTTTGGCATGGCCCAACCGAAATTCGGATTCTGGGGTAAAATATCAGTTGATGTACCTGCAGCATTGTTGAGTCCACTGGTGAGATTCTCGAAGAACTTTCCACCGAAATCTGGCTTCTCCACAGCTCCCATGATAGCTTGGGCCTGGAGCTGGGCCTTTTTAACCAATAGCCAACTCAACGAGGAGCAGAGCAAACTCAACGTCTTTCCAGTCCCAGTGGGTGACTCCAAAACCCCATGTTTCTTATTCTGCAAACACTCAATGACCTTGGCCATGTAGTCCTCCTGAACCTTGTACGGTTGGAATGGAAATGTGACCTGAATTCCATTGATAGTGACATCAGGCATTGTTACTCTCCACAAAATCCAGAAATAATTCAAGTGACCCTTCGAAAACGCCTTATTCCAACGAAATTTGTGATAATTTGGATGAACTTCAGGTATGCTTACAGTGTCTTCCTTTTCTCAGAACTTTACCGCCAAAACACAATTCACACGTGATTCTCAACGCTCAAGGTCGACCCAACTGTCCCCCAGCCGTCAGGTGCTGCCCCCAGATGTTGAAAGGGCTACACCATCCACCTGTTTTTGTTGTTTTTTCTCTTGGTGTGCACAAAACAAACATAAAAGAACTGAGCTGGAAATCTGGTTCATAGGTTGGTCTGCCAGCTGATAAGTAGACGGCCGGTAAGTGGTCAGAATCAGTGTCTCCATTGTTGCTGAAGGTAAGAATTTTTACAGAAATTCAATTTAAATCTGGTTTATTCACAACGAAAACTCTGTGTGAACTATTTATTAGAAGAATATTTAGAAGGTGAGGGAGTTGAGGACAATTTTGTTGGAGAAGTTCAGGGGTTTTGGGGCGTCGGTCTTTATCGGAGTTGATTGACCTTCCAAAGAACTGATTAGGTTGCCGATGCACAATACGAGTCGAGGTTCTGAATTGTTATACATCAGTGATGATAAATGTTGGTTCGTGATATTTATTTGTGGAGTAAAACGTCTCGGTGATCTCCAGTGATCCAACATTAATTTCTCAAATTGTGGTGGTCATCGACAAAAAATGTCTTACCCTGAGATTACAAATCTTATGATTAGATGAAAAGGATATCAAAATGAAATGCACAATCACTTCAAGCCACAACGTTTCGCTTGATGTAATCAGATCCACTCCATTCGTCGACCTATTTTTTATTGAATTACCAAAACGCAGTTTATGAAAAGACTAATCACGTCTTCATCATCAGTGCGCGGTTTGTTTTTTCCTCAGATACTTTAGCCCACCGCAACCCATATTTTGAATCCGTAATCTGTGAATTGAAATAATAATTTGTGAGTTGATAATTGATTCGAAATTAAATGAAGTATATTTAAGTTTTTGCATTTGTTCCCTGAATGTTCTTCTGTCAGAATCTTCAGTGAGTCCCTGAGAACTAATTGCGATACGATAATTATGGACGGCAAATAAACTGCAGTCCCTCCCGTGCGATAAATTACCATTCCTAGTCTGTGGTTTGATAAACACTGGGTCATATTTTTTTATCGTTATCAGTGGGTATTAAAGACAGTTGGCAGCTTTCTCTGGTGAAGTCTGAAGGCCTCCGGAGAGCGCATTAAACTTGTAGCTGTTGGAGGTCCGTAAAAACACTCTGAATAAATAAAAAACAAGATTATTTCTGTTTTGAGGGAAAGCCATTGAAAATGCGTCTGGTGATCTGTGATACCGTTGATTACGTAGCGGAGTGGTCTGCTAAATACGTAATGAAGAGAATCAACGACTTTCAACCCAATGCGGATAAGTATTTTGTCCTTGGATTACCAACTGGTACATAAATTCACTTGTGATGTGGTGAGGAATGTTCGGATAATTATAGTAATGAGAATTTTTCCACAGGTGGAACTCCCCTGGGTATGTACAAGAAACTCATCGAGTACTATAAAGCTGGAAAAATATCCTTCAAGTACGTGAAAACATTCAACATGGATGAATACGTTGATCTGGCCAGAGACCACCCAGAGTCATATCACTATTACATGTACAACAATTTCTTTAAGCACATTGACATTGATCCCCAGAATGCTCATGTTCTTGATGGTAATGCACAGGATTTGGTGAAGGAGTGCGATGAGTTTGAACAGAAAATCAAGGAGGCTGGGGGAGTAGAGCTCTTCATTGGAGGTATTCAAATAATAATTATCTGCCAAATGTTGTTTTATTCTCCACCACTACTTTCAAAATCAGAATGAAATTCTCCCTATCCTCCAGGGATTGGTCCCGATGGTCACATTGCATTCAATGAGCCGGGCTCATCCTTGGCCTCCAGAACCCGTGTAAAAACCCTGGCACAAGATACTCTGGAGGCAAATGCCCGATTCTTCGGCAATGATATCGATAAAGTCCCCAAGCAGGCACTCACCGTTGGAGTGGGCACTGTAATGGATGCGAAGGAAGTCATGATACTCATTACAGGCTCCCACAAGGCTTTTGCACTTTACAAAGCTGTCGAGGAAGGGATCAATCACATGTGGACTGTCTCAGCATTTCAACAACATCCTAGAACTCTCTTTATCTGCGATGAGGATGCTACACTTGAGCTTAGAGTCAAAACTGTTAAATATTTCAAGGTAAAAGTCAATTATAGGATAAATGACTCTCTGATGGTCTAGCTGAAGAAACCTCCTTGTTTCTGTACCAAATACCCTCCATAAAATTAATCCTTGAGGACGTAAATCCCACAAAATACATAAGATAACAATGAGTTTGCAATAAAAAATTTTAGGGCAACGTAAAATGTCTCATGTCCCTGTCATTGGTCTTTCTTTCTATTGCATGTTTTCATATTCTTTTTGCCATATCTTCATTATCTTTCCGAAATTCTAATCATTCTAATCAATAATAAAAAAGCATTGAAAATACAGTAGAAGTTGTTTATTTATCACAGAGTGCATGAAAGGGCTGTCAAATGGAAATTTCTTTATACCTCTGCCTTTATTTATTCTTAAAGTGCTGATCCACTGAAATTCCAAAGCAAAATATTCCAGACAGTCCCATCGACTTATTTTCGTTCTGTTCCGTTTTACTTCAGATATTCCTGCGTCAAAATGAATTATATTGCGTTTCAGGCACTGAGCGAAGTACATAGTAAACTCATCGAAGGAGACGAGCACACAATTCTTCCCCGTCGTGTGCAAAATCAATGGCAAGTATAAATGACGAATGAAAAAATTCAATTCGACAATAATAATGAGTCAATAGTTTGTTATTCTAGAAAATGTGTTTTATTCGATTTTTCCAGAACGTGTGGTACAATGCCAACGCAGTAATCGAGGATACCTGAAGGCACCATCGATGATATTTTTTTAATGAAAATAAAATTAACGATTAAATGCTCTTCGTGCCCAATGAAAATAAAAATAACAGACGAATACTCTTTGAGAGTTCATACGACTGCCAAGTGCGAAGTATTTTTTAAATAATTCCTACAAAAACTGAAAAACGAGAAATATACAGAACTATTTTACTACACCTGTAGCATTTATATGAATAAACAATTCTTCCAGATTATTACCCAAGTGCGAGAAATAATTATTCATAATATTAATTTAATTACAAAAGTACGAATGAGAATCTACAATAGGGTAAGGGCGGATAAAATGGACACTTCGAGCTATTAAAAAAAATGGGAAATCGATAGTGTTATGTAGAGATAATTAATTTTCCCAGGAATTCCATGAATTTCAGACATTGAGGAGCATTGAGAGCATCCATTTTGCCCCACCTACGTACCTATGAAAAAGATTATAAGAAATAAATACCCGAGGTAATCTATAATTGAAAATAAAACCTCGAAGACGGTGGCACATTATTCTGGCTCGGTCTGGACAGTTTTGTGGTCGTGTGGAGGATCTAGTCTTAAGGAGCCTCGAGAACGTGCGATATTGAGGATCTCACGGAGCTCCATATTCTCCTTTTGCAACCTGGAGAAGGTTTCCTTATACTTTAATTCACTCTCTTCATCGACCGAGGCTGCTACCCTCATAACAGCTGCCATTTCGTTAATTTTTTCAGCCTGACTGGTGATGATATTGGCATATTTGGCATTATAGAGGGATGAAAAATCTGTCTTGCAGTTCTTCAAGAGGGCGGATGTCTGCTGACGATACTTGAACATTATCAGTTCCAGTGATTTCTGGTAATCCTCCAGGGCAGTTTTGAGTTCCTTGTTCTCAGCCTGAATCTCTCTCAAGTGTCTCGTTTCCTGTTGGATGCCTGTTATAAGCTCCTGGTGGGGACGTTGCTTGGCTTCTGCATTCAGCATGTCAATCTCCTCTTGGTATTGCTTCATGTTGTCAATTTGATTGCAAACTGATTGGATCTCGGTTATCAAGTTGTCCGCAGTGTTCTCGTGGTCTGAAATCTTCCCCACGAGTTTTTTGGCATTGCAGATTATTTGATGAACCGTCAAAGACATCTGACAACAACGAGGGACACATGATTTATGAAATTTACTCACAATTTTTGATCGTGATAAAAAATAATCTTGGAATATATATTTACTTATGGTTTAATGGGCGTTGTAATACCTTTGAGCGGTGATGAAGTTGAAGATAATTTTTGGTGGTATTTTACTGAGCACAATTTGATTTTCTAAGATGACATTTGGTGGTCTTTCTGTTGTTTCATGAACTAGGTTAGACAACCAATTACCATCTGTGTGGGGTTTTATTTTTATTTCTTCTCGACGATAAATATGGCGGGCGATTTGAATGGCTTTTGTAGATTGTGTACTATGCTTTATAATAAATGACAATTGTTCATCTGGTGATTGTTTCATTTTATTTATGTGACGGATTGAATTATAAGGACAGAGTTCAGTAAAAGTGAATTCATTTATTGATATCATACACTGATGTTTGAAATTTTAGACTCCAATGTGAGCTGTTCAGCTTCTGAGCTCTCAGGTAACATGAGAAGAGATGAGGATAATGAGATTAAATTTATTTATTTTGGGAGGAAAATTTAATTTTATCGAACTCTCGACGTTGTGTATTCCGATGGGAATGCGAATGTGTGCGAACCGTAGGAACTGACACTGGGGAGTAGACCTGCATTGGGGATGATATTCCAGGAGAGTGTCAGTGTAACGTTTTTATTGCCCCTGGAACAAAAGGGAAGTCATCATTAGTAAAAGATTCTCCCCCTTATATCAATTAAAATGATCTCGCGGACGATTATATTCATAATCTACATGATGAAGGGAAATATTCAACACAGTCTTACTTCAAACCATTTCCATCATCCCAGAAGTAGTACTTGGTGTTCATGTTCTTGAAATCAAGAACAGCATTGTCTCCACGAAGAACTATCTTATCCCACAGAACCACCTGAATAAAATCAATCAATTATTGCCTCAAATTTGAATTTGTTTCGATTCTTATTACATTCAGAGAAAATCATTAAATTCAATGACTCTTTTATTCAATTCTACGTAGAATAATCGTGTATTAAAAAATGATTACCAACTCCTACAACTGCCTACCTGATTAATATGATTAGCTTTAGTTTCATACTCAGCAGTGAGATAAAGAAACAGCTGTTTCACGTTCCAATTGAACAAAGGTGTGAGATCAGTCTGCAGATCAAAAGTGAGAAATCCAAGATCATTTTTTTCCCTCGAAGCACTGTAATCTGGCACATTTTTCCTGGAAGAAATAATACCATAAAATTCTGATCGTAACCTAGTTCAGTTGGATTAAAAGACGAGTAATAATCTGAGTAATTGCGAGGTACTTACACGACGACTTTTACAGTATTCAAAGTGGCATTGGTCCTGTAATCGAGGAAAACAGTGGATAGAAAGCAGAAGAACGTTAGAAACCCGGCTACACTGACGGTGTACGCCAAAATAGCATTTGCTCTCGTAAAAAATGTATGCATTATTGATCACTAAATTATAACACTGTTAAATGCAATTAATCGTTGATATCACAATATCAGATTGCCAAATACATTTAAATTATTGGATGAAACCCATCAACACATGTTCGTCAGTTGCATATCTAGGCAAAACTCAATGTCCGCACTTTTTGTCACATCAACGTCAGCATAAATGTGTTTACGTGTTACTTTTCCAGCGGTAGGATTTTTATTTCAAATAACCACATGCAGATGGCTGACGTTCATTGGAGACTGGGCTAAGGTATGTGGAAGGAGGTATTGCCAAGCTTTGATGTCACCGACACCAAAACAGGGGACAAGTACCTTCAGACGTCGTACGTAGCGCTGTATAACGCCTTCTCCTCATGCGCATTTCGTCCCCACAATTCAACAATTTCTGGCGTTTACATTTGAATGCCAGTCGAGATGTTTGATTTTTTTTCTTTCAAATTGACATGAAAAAAAAAGGTATGGCATAAAAATTGTCTACAAAAGAATAAATGAACAATGGGTATATGATTATTTCAATAAGAGAGATTCTGACCCAGTATTGACTATTTTTTCATAAATCAAGTAATTAAAGTGAAACTCTTTCCACGTCACCCAAGAGGTAGAGTCCTTGACGCGTTTTTTTTTAACGTGGTATCCCCTGTAGGCCTAATCCACTAAGTCA